AGCAGTCAGTCTGATCACTCCAGACTGCTTGGTTGTGAATGCAGGCTGTGAAATGCATGTATGTTATGCAATAAAACTTAACATTCCTTTCTTCCTTTAAATTTCAGATTCAGTCAGGTCTGGGGAAACTGATTTTGAAGGAGGAAATGGAGAGAGAGATGAACAGAGAGAGATATACCCGCAGTCTCTCCTCGCAGCGCTACGAGAGCCCCTATATCAACTGCACTGCAGGTAATGACCAGTAGGGAGCACATACTGGTCAGTACTCAGAGCTTTTCAGGAAATGACATTGACACATTGACTCTCTGAATGAAGGCTGTATCCGATTTTCAGATAAAACATCCTCACTCCCCGGCTATGGACGCAATGGCCTCCATCGGGTAAGGTGATGTTCCAGATGTTGGCCTCCAGGACCTGCTCCTGTCAACCCCATGTCAGACACTCCTGTCATTTATCAGCCCGCCTTCATCATGTACACACTCAGATATCTAAAGCCAGGCATCGGCTGTGCCATCTCAGGCAGCTGAGGAGGTCCAAGGTCTCTCTAGCTATTCTGAGAGCCTCATACTCAGGAGTGTTGGACAGCATCCTAGGAATCACTGCTCTGCCCTGGACCATAAAGCTCTGCAGAGGGTGGTACATTTAGCTGAATGTATCAGCAAGGCTGATCTGCCCTCCCTACAGGACATTTAACTCAGACGATGCAACAGCAGAGCAGCCAAAATCAGCAGGGATACAACCCACCCAAACGACTTCCTCTTTACCAGGCTGAGGTCTGGAAAGCAGATCTGCTGTTTCTCAGTGAGAACTGAGAGGTTCAGAAGGAACTGCCATCCGACGGCTGTTAGGCTGCTTAATGCCCCACTTCTTATTTATGCACCTCACACTTTGTTTTATCTGTTTTGAACATTTCTGGTCATTTTACTTTTTGTGACATTTACAATTTTGTTACTTTTAATGTCTTTATTTTGCTTTTACTATTTATTATACTGGAGTTCACTGTACCAGAGCTGACCATCTTCAGACACTCCTGCCCTTTATCTGTCCACCTCCAGACACTCTTATCCTTTATCTGTCCACCTCCAGACACTCCTGCCCTTTATCTGTCCACCTCCAGACACTCTTATCCTTTATCTGTCCACCTCCAGACACTCCTGCCCTTTATCTGTCCACCTCCAG